TCTCTCTCTCTTTCCTCCTCTTCTCTCTTCTCTTCTCTCTCTCTCTCTCTTCTTCTCTCTCTCTCTCTTTCTCTCTCTCTCTGTCTCCTTTGTATCTTTCTTTGTCTATCTCTGTTCCTGTCTCTTTTCTCTCGCTCTGTTGTTGTATCTATCTACCGGTCTAGCTCTTTTCCTGTCTCTCTTTTTTTCTCTCTCTCTTTGTCTATCTGCCTTCTGCCTATCTTTCTGTATCTCTCTCTCTCTCTCCTTATCGGCTCAACAACCTATCAAGAAGTAATTTAAGTATTTAGGAACACATAAATTAACCCACATTATAAGCGTTTCTATCGCTGTATCATCATCTATTCTTAATATCACTATCATTCTTGTTGTCGTTATTCTATTTTTTCTCATTTCATTATAATCATTATAATTATATAGTATGAACAATAATAACTAAAATAATAATTGCACTGATAATGATAATGATATCGTGAATGATGATAAACAAGTAATAGCGATACTGATGGTGAGAATAATTATGACAATGATAATTATAATGACAAAAAATAAGATTGGTGTTAAATATAACATACAAACATAATCAGCATCGCAATGATAACACAAATAATAACAAAGAAAATAACAGCAACAAAACCAATAATAACAGAATGCTAGTAATACGAATAAAAAAAACAATAATAGTGTAGATAATAACTACAGAATGATAATAACACAATATGAATGATAATAATGATGATAATGAAGGTGCCCCAAAAATATAATTATCCAGAACTCCACTGATGCAGATGGCGATGACAATAATGATCATAATTATCAACGTCAGAGCCGGTAGCATCATTAAGAATGCCGGTATAAAATGAGAACAATAAGACTATCCATAAGCAAAAACTATTATAATAATATTTCTGGTGATGATGATGATAAGAATAATATTAATATAATTGCCAGGATCAGTAACAATACATGATGATAATGTTTCCATCACTGGCAATAATAATGGGCTATGATGGTAATGAATATAATAACCAAAATAATATTATGGTTATAACAATATCAGCAGCAGCACTAGCAATAACGGCAATAGTAATAGTATTAGTAATAGTTATAGTAATAATAACCGTAGTAGTAGCAGTAATGATAATGATAATGATAATAATAATAATAGATAGATAGTGATAACAGCGATACTACTGGTAAATAACAACCATAATAAATAATGATCATGCTAATAACAACGATGATGGAACTGATGATGATAAAAATAACAATAACAACAATAATGATGATAATCCTTCTTATCCATACTAATAGCATAGCTGAATTTATCACTACGACCACTCTACAACTCCAGCTGCAGCCTTACTCTTTAAAATATTGATATCGCTGAAAGCACGTAAAGCATTATGCCGTTTGCTCATTCATATGGCTGTACCTATGAGGGCAGCATTTGTATGCTTGTACCTACGCTGTATATTTGTATACTGTATACACATACAAGCGAACGCAGTATACGTATTAACAAATGGGTGTTTGGTATAGATGGAGGGAGGGAGAGAGGAAAGAGATGGTAGAGATAGAGGTTAATAGATAGATATATAGAGGGAGAGTGGAGGGGGAAAAGAGAGAGTATGAGAGAGGAAGAGAAAAATAGAGAGAGAGAAAGAAAGAGAGACTTTTGACTTTTGACTTTGACACGTTTATTGAGACACAAAAAATACATCTCAAATGGGTGAGGTAGAGGTAGAGGTAGAGGTAGAGGTAGAGGTAGAGGTAGAGAGAGAGAGAGAGAGAGAGAGGAGAGAGAGAGAGAGAGAGAGAGAGAGAGAGAGAGAGAGAGAGAGAGAGAGAGAGAGAGAGAGAGAGAGAGAGAGAGAGAGAGAGAGAGAGAAAAGAAAGTGAGAACACAAAGAAACGGAGACAAAGAAAGGGCGAGCGAGGGAGTAAAATAATCAAAACTAACCTTCGTCCTCATTTACGTCGCCTGCATCATCGTCATTGGGGTACTAATTACACATCGCCCTCATTAACAGAATTAGGGTAAATTCTCGACACGCCTTGAGGTCCTTATAGCTCTAACCCTCAACCAATACCAGAATTAGTCACCATAACCAATAGTAGAAGTAGTTGTAGTAGTAATAGTAGGAATAGTTGTAGTAGTAGTAGTAGTAGTAGTAGTAGTAGTAGTAATAGTAGTAGTAGTAGTAGTAGTAGTAGTAGTAGTAGTAGTAGTAGTAGTAGTAGTAGTAGTATAGTAAGTAGTAGTAGTAGTAGTAGTAGTAGTAGTAGTAGTAGTAGTAGTAGTAGTAGTAGTAATAGTGGTAGTAGTATTTGGAGTCGGAGTAGTAGTAGTAGTAGGAATAGTTATTGTAGTAGCAGTAGTAGTATGAATAGTTGGAGTAGCAGCAGCAGCAACAACAGTAATAGTAGTAGTACTAGTTATAGCAGTATTATCAGCAATAGCAGTCGGAGGAGCTGCAGTAGTAGTAGTAATACTTGT